GAATGAAAACATATGTCATTATTAGGAATAGTTTTGTCAGACAAAATGAAATATCATAAATTTTAAAATCCAATTATTTCCCTGAATAGGTCTTACCTTATTCAAGATCATATAAGCTAGCAAGCACTTTAAAACCTTTCTGGCATTCAGACACTCAAGGGGAAAGATTACCAGAAAAGCAAGTACTGGTAGTTGTACTTCAGTTTTCCTAAGTACTATCTAAATATCCTACTTCCTGTGGGCTTCCACTCTCCAATTCCTCATCTTCAGGACTCAGTAGAAATCTCCAACCTTTCAATCTACATCCTGTAAAATACAGATACCTGACACAAGACTGGGCTCAAAAAAATCAAGGGTTGGAATCCTCTTTCCTTGGCACCTAGTAAACAAGCTAAATGGAATCTCAATCACTGGCATCAGCAAAAGTGTGTTACCAACTACCCAGTTGAAGCTCCATGATGACTCTGCCAACCAGTCGTTCCCATGCCCTACCCTACGTGTACATAGGGAAGATATCAGCAAGTTGGGAAAATAAGCGGAGGTGAACAGACACCTGCTCTGGGCCATAGATTCAGCAAATTCTAGTCCCCTGGTGCTTGAGGATCTTTAAACCACCCTCATATTCCTATGTGTTACTCAGCGGTTCAAATTATTTTAACTACTTTCAACAGAAACCTTGAAGTTTGTCAGTTCCTCCAATTAAACAATCAAGAGAATGATGACCTGTTCAGAATGCCCTTTGACACCCTATTTTAATATGCCTTTCTTGATAGCTCCAAATATCCTGTGTTATTTATTCTTTTTTTGTCTTTATTAAAATGGTCATAAACCCCAATGTTCTTTTTTCCAAAACCCTCATTCCTACCCAAGAGAGGGTCATGGTTCACCAACCTTGCCCTTTCTCTGTTAGTTCTGTTCTGATCCTCTACCACTGAATTCACTTCCTAATTCCACTCTTATATTCTTAAAGTTGGGTTCCTAAATTCACTCCCACATTAAAACCTTAACCTACAGAATGATAATAAGGAAGAGTACTGGCTTAGAATTAAAGAACCTGAGTTTAAATCTCATTGCTGCCACCTTCTATACCCAGAACAGTCATCTTAACATCATTAAGTTTCAGTTTCATTATCATAACCACCATTGGGCCAGCATACTAAACTCATTTTGAAGTACTAGAGGGTATTCTGATTAGTTACTAATTTTTTTTTACAATCGTAAAATTGTCTGTGTTTTACATTTCATCAATAAAAAATGGAATATTTGTTTGACAGTTTAAAAAAAACTTAAGAAACACCAAGAACAACAAGTAAAAACAAAAGCTTGAAAAATGTTTAAAGTAATTAGAAAAAGAAAAAAAAAAGAGTATAAAAGAAGAAAAGTCTTCATATGACCAGATAGGAGTAGGAGCCTGAAGGGAAAACCAAACTGGAAAATCTATTTATATCCTATAAATAGAAGCTTAATGTAATTCATATAACATGATCTACATATATGTATTCTTCACATCTAGTAAAATAATTCCTCTCCAGGAATTGCTTGATCTTGTTTATGAAAAATCCACAGTTCTATGGCCACAGCTGCATGAGATTGTCCCTAAACGATTTGATGGATGAAAAGATACTGGTTACCTACCAATGCAACTGTCAAAAATATCGGAACAAACTCTTTTATTGTAACCAGGCTTCGTAGATAAAACATGAATCAGAATTAACATGTAACTAACTTTGTATTTCTAAATTGATCTGATATGGATCTGCATCTTGATCTTAATGTTGCATAAATCCCTATCAATCTATGCAGTGGAGCAAGAAAATGTCATTGTGAGCTAGGCAGGCTGACAATCTAATCCCAGGCCAGCTACTATTAATAGGGGATTGTAGATCAATTAGTTAACCTCTCATTCAATAATAGTTGCTTGATTGGTAAATAATAGATTGTAAGAGAAAAGACACTTTCAAAACTTTGTGATGACTATAAGAAGTGTTAAACACCTAATGTGATTTGTATCCCAGACTAGAACACTCAACACATACTAGTTCCTTTTCTCTACATTCCCTAATTAGTCAACATATAAATTTTTCTAATCTGTAAAACCCTACCTGGTTAAAGAGTCTTCTTTAGAACTCTCATTCTAAAATATGTTTAATCAACAATAGAGAAATATAAAAATTAAAAGTATATGCTTGATGCTTTGTTATAAATATTTCTTTGGGATGATACATGGTGACTATTTTAGAATGAATATTAATTATATGGCTTATGGGCAATTAATGCATAAAAGCCCCTATGTCCTCTTTCTTTACATTTATCAAATGCATAGAAAAATGGAATTTATCAAAATCTGATAGCTAAATGTAAACTGTTGTGTTCCATGACCAAAATCCCAACTGAAAACTGTCAAAAAACAATATCATTAGCAGATTCAGAATCATAAAGCTGACAATGGTAAACAAAGAGCATGCTCTTTCTGGGTTAATGGCAATGAGAACAATTATAAGACAGTATATTTACATTGTTATGACACAGAGAAGCTTCTCCAGATTTTCAGTCAATACTGCTCAGTTTAGGATGAACACCTCATCTTAAGGACACTTTGAGCAATGCACGTTGGCAACAGACCAGGGACTGGGAAGCTTACTATGACATTCCAGCTTCAAGTTGAGAACATAAAAAATCAAAATGCTTACCCTCACTAATGCTGTTCTGGTGACAATGCTAATCTCTTAGTTCCAGCTACTTTCTCCAGCTTGTGTGTAGTGCAAATAAGGCTTTACCTCCCATAGAAAAACCACTAGAAAGATGATGCCCTTGGGAGCTCATACACTTTGATCCATATCTCACTGTCATAGAGAAATTGGAAAAAAAAAAAAAAAGAACTAGGGAGGTAGCAAAAAGTTTCCAAGAAGTAATAGCCTGTATGAGAAAATATTTCAATAAAACCATCAACTTAACTCAAGTTTTCAGAATGTGTCAGCCATTAACACTCCCTAAGTGGAAGAAAACAATTCTTCTCACTTCATGTAAAGTATGAAATAAAAACAAAATAACAATGTGACTCTAGTGATATTTTCCATGAGATAGAATGTACTGATAAGTAGTCAGGACAGAGAATGGAGCTTAGTGGTAATGTGCTTTCAGAGCATGCATGAGCCCTGGGTTCAATCCATAGAACTGAGATAATAATAATAATAAAATAATAATAATTATTATTATTATTTAAAATGTCAGTGCTGTGATAATAGTATAGACTGATTTCATACTCATCTCTCAAAGAAAAGTAGAAGATTTTAATTCATGCATACTGTTCAATTTCTAGTCTTAATCCCAATGGAAAGGTATTTACTTATAAAAGACTCTGGGATAATTTTATGAATTCCAATTCTTCAGACTTCCATTATGAAGAGTCTATCTAGTCCCAATAGACCAGAAGTTTAAGGTTAGTATTTTCCTTGAGCATGCTGTAAATTCTCTCAATCTTCCTTATTATACAACAAATTTCTATAGACATCATGCTTTTTAAGCATGTAAACTATATGCCCTTATGTATTATGCTGATAGAAAAAAAAATCACAAAAAATTTGGAAGACAAGGGCTAAAAATGTAGCCCAGTCATAGAGCACATTCTAAAATTGCATGATGCTATGGGTTCAATGACTAGCACCACAATAGAAGATAGATATGACTAGAAATTTAATTACCTGAGAATTTAATACTTTAAAAATTCAAGAAGATGCCTAATACATTGTTCCAAGTATATAATTATTCCGAAAAAAGCAAAATTCTGGATGGGATAGAGATCAATGGTTGACAAGATTAATGAGATGCAGGGGGTATGGTAATTAGTAGGTTGGCCTTCTTTGTCTCTTCTGATTAGCTTTGGTTTGAAGTCCACTTTATTTGATATAAGAATAGAAATCTCGGGCTGGGGATGTGGCTCAAGCAGTAGCGTGCTCGCCTGGCATGTGTGCAGCCCAGGTTCGATCCTCAGCACCATATACAAACAAAGATGTTGTGTCTGCCAAAAATAAATAAATAAATATTAAAATTCTCTCTCTCTCTAAAAAAAAATCTCTACTTATTTATGTGATCCATGTGAATGATAGGGTTTGTTTGTTTGTTTTTGCTTTCACCTTTAGTCTGTGAATTTCTTTGTCTATGAGGTGAGTTTCTTGGAGATAGCATGCTTTGGGGTCTTGTTTTTTTATCTAATCTACAAGCCTATGTCTTTGGATTGATGAGTTTAGATCATTTACATTCAGTGTTATTATTGAAAGATGATTTTTAATTCCTGTCAATTTGGTTTATTTTGAATTTAAATATTGAATTAGATTATCCTTTGATTGATTATTCTTCTAGTGTTGTATCTCCCTCCACTGGTTTTCATTTTTACTCTCCATTTCTTCTTCATGAAATATTTTATTGAGTATGTTTTATAGTGCTAGTTTTTAAATTGTGAATTCTTTAACTTTATCAAGGAAGGTTCTTATTTCATCTTCAAATCTGAGGCTTAATTTTGTGGGATATCATATTTTTGGTTGGTATCCATTTTCTCTTAAATCTTAGTACATTCTAAGACCTCCAGCTTTTATGGTCTGGGTTGAAAATTCGGCTGAGATTCAGATTGGCTTACCTCTAAATGTCAATATAATTTTCTTTTTGCTTTTAAAATTCTTTTTCTAAATGTTAGGCATGTTCATAATAATGTAACTTGGGAATGGGTCTGTTGTAATTTTGTATATTTGTATTCCTGTATGCTTCCTGTTTTGATTTTCTATTTTATTCTTAAGGTTTGAGAAATTTTCTACTATTATTTCATTGAAAAGATTGTGTATTCCTTAAGTTTGTATTTCAGGGTCTTCATCTATCTCAATGAATCTTTTTTTTTTTTGATAAAAAACAAAACTAAAGTTTAATAGTCATTGAAGGGGTAACAGCCATTTATCGTCTACATGTAAAAGTAATTTTAATCCAAGCTAAGAAAACTAGAAACAAAGAATGCTATTAGAAACAACAAAAAATGATAAAAACATTTTAACGCCTAAAATGTAGAAACTTAATATCCTAAACAAAAATATTAAAGATAAAAGGGACTTGAATTTTTTTTAAAACAATTCATCTTATAAAATCAATTTCTAAATAGCTCATATCCTTTTTGCTTTGGTGTTTTGTCTGCTATCAACTAGACATTAGTACAGTAGAAAATCACTTAGGTTCTTTTCAAATGCTTGGCATTATAATGTGATCTCATATCTTTCCTCAAATTAAATTTTGCTCCACATATTCCACATGTATACAGATGAACATCCATGTGCTGCTCCAATTGTTCATTATTTGGGAATATCTGAAAGCAGACCTGGCATATAGTCTCACCAGCAGATAAATGAGAAATCATATGCCGTACATGGTCATGTTTTCTGAAGTTTCCTTGATCACAAATGGAACAGACATACCTGGCCATGCCTTTGTGCATATCATTGTGCAGACGCAACTGACGTTCTCTTAAAAACTGCTTTCCACATGTCTGACAAACAAACTGTTTTTCCTTAGTATGAACAGTATAGTGTTCTCTTAAATGACACCGCTGATAAAATCCTTTTCCACACAGATAACAGAAATGCTTTCACCTGTGATCTCTTTCATTTTCTTCCATGATGGCACTCTTAAACATATCTTGGTCTAGGCAGCTAGACATATGTTCAACCACTAGATTTTCAGTTTCAAAACGCTGGCCACAGTTAGGACATCGAAAAGGACAGGCGGAATGCTTAAATAACTGCTTTTTTTGGATACTTTTTAACTGGTAATGACTATCCCAAAAATCATCCATTCTTTCAACAAACATATCTCTTATTTCAGACTGCTCATCAGGATTTTCTTCCATGTTCATTTTCTCCTCAGTATTTCCTAACCCATTCATTGTCAGATCTTGGGGTTCTCCACATCTTTGGGCATTTTCCTGAAGTTGTCTACCCTTGACAAGTATTTGTCCACATTTACCACATGCACAGATATTTTCAATGTGTTTGGCTAGGTAATGAGATGACAGGTCCTCCTCAGTTATTGTGAGTCCACACAGCTCACAAGATGCATTTTCAGTATCCTCTCAACTGGACTACTGTTGTTAGGGGGTCTCATATTTTCTAAACCAACTCTTTCATCAGCATTTATTGACATCCGAGGTTTTAGTTTTTCTACCACTTTTTTTAATGCTGATGTCTTCTTCAACATAGTATCTATAAAATGGCTCTTCAGGTTCATCTTCCAATTCATCGTTGTCAGTGGATTCGTTACAGTCTTTATCATTAACTTTAATAATGTTAAAATCTTTCAGCTCATCTGTAGGAATATCTTCTGGCTCCATCTTGATAATGATTCTTTTCCTCTCAGCAGCTCTGCTTTTTTCTTCAGTGGCTATTTCAGACTCCACTGTGCTACTTTTCCTGTTTCCAGTGGTTGAAGCTGAATCATCAGGAGCCTGGCTTGTGTCTCCTCTGTATTTGTCGGTCTGTGCAGAAAATGTTTTAGAAGAATCCTTTTCACCAAATTTAGCTTTGATGTTACTGTCTTTTTCATCTCTAATATCTACTATTCGGTGGTAAGATCTTGTGTTTTGGTATGAATGTCTGTTAGTACAGGTCAACACATGCTCATCTAATAATTTTTCACAACTAAAGCCAAATCCACAGCTGTCACAGGTAAAACTCCGTCCAAAGCGTCGCGATACACGTTCTTTTGGAGCAGATAATTTGGACACAGAACTTTTTTTACACACATCAAATAGTGGTTCAGGAAAATTACCTAATTGTAAAGATTCTTCATCAGGCTCTCTATTATGTGGTGTATTTACTGTTGAACCTGGCTGTGCACACCACCTATTGGCTTCACTTCCATTTGTAGCCACAGTGTCTTCATACATTCTTACTCCAAATATCATTTTGCTGTTCTGTTTGCTGGAAGCAGAAGATGAACATTTTGAACTAGAACAATCTGCATCCTGTATATCCTCTAAGCAGTCAGGAACATTATACAGCTGTAGGTAGTTCATTGCCACTTTAAACTGCTCAAAACTGGAGGGAGCTGTCATAATTTTTCCTAAATACATAAATTGCAAAATGAGATCAAAACACTCAGCACTAATTTTCATATTGCCGAGATTCAGTTGATGGTTCATGAAAAGCATTCTAAAATAGGAGCTGCAGGCAGCTAGAACGGCTTTGTGGGCTTGAAAGTAAATGTCATCAATTGCAATGTAACAGTCACAGAGAAAACCCCATTCTCTTTGGTTGTTTAGCTGCTGAAGAACATAGCTGCTGTGGCTGGGTTTTGCCATCTTCTATTAATTAGAGACACCTGCTTTTGGAGATGGTGGTTTGTTGGTTGGTTTGCTGGTATTTTTCTGTCCCCTTGTCAAGCCAACAGCTGTTACTTCTAAAAGGTATGCTGACCTCCT